AAGCACATCAGTGATTTCATGTTCTAAGTATTTTCTAATTGCTTTTACATTTCCTTTTTGGTTCCATTGTTACTAAGCCAGGTGCTTTTTTCATTTCCAAGTGGTAGGAATATTTGTTATTAGTTTTGGATGTGATTAGAAAACATGGTGCTTTTTAATACTCTTTTCTTTGGTAAATTTACTATTATTTTTCTTTGTGCCCTAGTACATGATCAATAGTTTTAACTGTGCTGTGTATACATTAATATATTCTGTTTGTGGAGACAAAAAGTTTTTAAAATGTTTTTATTGACTCAACCCTATTACTTATGCAATTAAAATATATCCTATAGTATTTTACTGAGGTCTACTTCATCTTCCAAATTGAAAGCGAGGTGATAAAGTCATTTTCTACAATTTTTCTGTCCATGTATTCTGTATTAATAAGTTTTTGCTTACACTTTAATACTACATATTTGGAATACAAAGGATTTAACTGTCAATATCGAATGCATATTTTTTCCCTTGTCTTCTATTTTGTCCGATATAAATTCTGCCACATTTGTTTTCTTCATTTTCACTTTTGCCTAACATATATGCAGGTACTTCAAAAACATTGAGGACAAATAGAATTAAATGATAATACAAATCTTTCCTTGAACTTTTTGAAGTGCCCTCATATTTGTCCATTTTCAAATGTTAATCTTTCTAGGTCAACTTATTTCAAGACTATGGTAAGCAGCTTTTAATCAAGTCTTGTTTCTTAACCCGAACTAAGTTCATTCTTATTAACTAGGAAATTTACCCTATTACGTTTATTGTCTTAATTTCTATGTTTGGCCTTGCTTTATCCTAGCAGAATAATTATGTTATACTCCCCTTCACTGAAGATGAAGAGTTAGTGCTTTTGAAGTCCATCTGTGAATCTACTACTCCAGTCTTTGTCAATTTAAGTCATATTTCTGATTACCACAATATAGTGGCTTTCTTATTTTTATAATATGGAGCCTTTATTTCACATAAAAAGTATATTTAAGACAATTATTCAGATGTACATCTTTTTATTTAGACTGTTTCCATTCACTTCTAGTCTTTTCAGTCAGGATTTCCTCTTTCCTGTTCTTGTTTTCTCTCTCCTTTTTTNCCTATTACGTTTATTGTCTTAATTTCTATGTTTGGCCTTGCTTTATCCTAACAGAATAATTATGTTATACTCCCCTTCACTGAAGATGAAGAGTTAGTGCTTTTGAAGTCCATCTGTGAATCTACTACTCCAGTCTTTGTCAATTTAAGTCATATTTCTGATTACCACAATATAGTGGCTTTCTTATTTTTATAATATGGAGACTTTATTTCACATAAAAAGTGTATTTAAGACAATTATTCAGATGTACATCTTTTTATTTAGACTGTTTCCATTCACTTCTAGTCTTTTCAGTCAGGATTTCCTCTTTCCTGTTCTTGTTTTCTCTCTCCTTTTTTTGGGTAAATATCTTAATCAGTATTTACTGGGAAGTATCAAGGTACCAGGGTTTCTAAATCTTTGCCCATATATAAATATTTTCTATGACATTCCCAATATGATGGCTCAGAGGTGTATATCAGAATCTCCAAACCTCACGTCGGCCTGGAAATTCCAACATGATTTCTTTGGGGTCACACTCTTCACTCCTCAGCCAAGGATTCTTGCTAAAGGCAACACAGTCTGTATGCCTGCCTGGTTAATTATCTAACAATTGTATCCTCAGGTGTACTTGGAACAAGTAAAAGTTAGAATTCAGTGTTGTTGACAAGGCCAAGGCTAATTTTCACTTCTGCATGGTTAACCTTTCTATTCTGAGGTACCTGGCTGAGTCTGGGTCAGGACCATTTTGTGGCTAATGTCAGACAACATTAGGATTGGCAGCCCCTCCAGAACCACATGTGGTGGGGAGAGGGAGTTCTCTAAACAACCAGCAGTGCTGTTACTAGAAGAGAAGGGCAGGAATGCCAGGCAGCCAGAAACTACACGCATCCACTACAGGCAAGCTGATGAGAAGGGGATTCTGTTAAACAGAAAGTGGACCCTCTGTGAGCCTTCTAAAGATTCTCACTGAGAGTTTCCAGATTATGTAATTTAAACCTAAGGGATTGAATTGAGCTAATTTTCTCGATCACATGCCTCATTTATTATTCTAAAGTACACAGGTCTGGTTACTTAGCTTTCGGTTGGGCAGAACATGAATATTATGTCATATTTTTTTTCCTAAAGGAACTGAATAATTTAAACAATATAATATCAAATTAACTTATGTATCTACGTTCTTACTGGGAATAGATATATTATGCTGAGGTTGGGAATAGTGGAGGATTTTGGACTTGGCATTCATTTAACATCTCTTGAGTGCTTTCTTACTACTATTTTCTTATTTTCACAATATGGAACATTTGCTTCAGGTAACGAATGCATTTTTTACAATTATTTAGATCTACGTGTATGTCTTGTGCTGTAGACTGAATTTAATATTAACCATAAGCTGTTTATTTTGGAAGGGAAGGGGGTTACTAGAGAGAACGGACTGCAAAGCTAACTGGAGGTGGGAAGATGCTCTCAAACTCAGGCACTTGGTGCACAGATTATCCCCCTAGTTATCCTCATGCTTGCTATTTCAAAAACAGTGTTAAGAAAATGAAATTAAATAGCTAAGGGAAATTCTTAAAATACCAAATGAATGGAAAAAAATAATATTAAAAAGATACAATGGCAATAAAGTGTATAATAAGTTTAATCAACTGAAAAAAAATTAGTTCAACTAAAATGAATATGTTCAAATAGAACCCATCATCCACCAAGATGTAATGGACTACTGTACATCTTCTGCTCTGCTGGACTGACCACGTGAACACAGAGTTCCCTGCAGGATGCCTTGAGCTTTTAGTAGAGAACAAAGACCAAAGCCAAGGACCATACTGAGTTTTGGCCCCTTAAACTCAGAATGTCCTGTACAGTAAGCCAACTGGCTTCCCTACATCTTTTCTAAACTTGCTGCTGACAAACTACATCTTTCCTCATCCTACATAGTACAGTTTTTCTATTTTTAATCCAAGGGCAGGGCTTTATTTTTCCCCCTAACAAATGCTTTGGTTCATTATTTCAGCCTATTGCTATCCAGAATCTGTGATAAGTTGCCTTTGTCTGGCTCCAAGTTTCTGGCAATCTACAAATGTTACCTTCTGTATCCTCCTCTAAATTGCTGGTTAAAATAAATAGGATACAACTTTTTAAATTACAGTTTTAAAGGAAGAACTACATTTGTAGTCATAAGAAAATGTCCATTTTCAAGGGGAAAAAAGAATAATTATGATTTGTAACAATATATATGCTAATAATATCGATTTGATCAACATATCGCAATGTTGAACCCTAAAAATATGTATAATCAATTTTGATTCAATAAAAAAAATAAATTTAAACAACAACAACAACAAAACAACTCATGGACAATGCAGAGTCTCACACCAGGAGGATGTCTCTGGAAAGCACCAGATAAGTAGCCCCCACCACATCCACACAGGACAGCCCTCATCTGCCCCAGAAAGTTGCTCAAGAAAAAAAAAAATGTCCATTTTCAGGGCTTACAGAGAAAGGAAAATGATGGCACTGTTTCTCTATTTTTTGGGAGTGGAGACCTTTCTGCTGGGACCTATGAGAAGAAACTCTGCTGGGACTGTGGGAGGGGATGCATGTCTACCAGCTCAATCTCTGAGAGCTGGGCCAGGGGTGAGGTGTTCTGCAGGCGGGTTCCTCCGGCTGTACAGGCCTCTCTAAAACTACAGTGGAGGGCAGCAGAGGCAGAGTAAGAAACACGAGGCCCTGGCAATGTTGCCTGGCAGAGCCCTCTGTTGCTGCTAATTTGTTTTTCTTTTTTATCTACATAATATTATAAAGAACATGGAAAAAATATTTGCTTTGCAACAGCCTAGCAAGAAACTACAACTGCAGCTAAAGTCTGGCAGTTTTATAACAGGCTCTTGCTGAGCATCTCCCAAAATAAGGAAGAGAGGCAGCAGGATCCATCCTGCCCCACCGCTCTCTCCAGACAGGAAGTGAGTGTGTCCACCAGGAACCTTGCTGAGGCAAGACGGAAGAACGAGGAAAAACAGCACAGAAGTTCTGCCAACATACAACCATCTTGGACATAAATAACCAAACCAAATACAGTAAAGTCGAAGAGTCAGCATTTCTAGAGCAAATATTTCACTTTAATTCAGATTTAATTAACAAGTTAACAATCTATTACTCTGCAATAAAAAACTCTTCTTACTGATGAAGACAAAAGGACACATACAACCTGAAGACAATCTGATTTTACTTTATTGAATACTATCCCATATCTAATATTTACAGATCTAATTAAACAGAATTTATAAGACTACCATGTGCAACATTTTAAAAAGTTAATCTGAAACAGTCTTAATGGAAATCACCAATTCATGCATGTTAATAAAGTAGTAATTAATTTACAACCTTTCAGCCGATATCCATGATGGTTCATTTCATAAAAACTCTATCTTCAAGAAGAAATAAGTCTGAGGAAATATAAAAAATTCAGAAAATTTTGCATCTAGTCATAATCTTCCAGTTTTTCTGAAAAAGAAATTAGTAACAATTACAGACATGCACAACTGCAATCATGACTACATTCTTTAATACCATATTTAACTTTAAACATAGAAAAGTTATTCTTTTATCATATTTTCAGTATAGGTTTTCTTATGTTTAAAAAGAAATACATAATCCAAATTTAAAATCAGCATCTAAATATTACTTTAAAAATGTCAGCAAAGTATGTGGGGGATGGTCCATGGAAGGGAACAACATGGACAACAAATGTGAGGGAGTCGCCCCAGCTGGTTCTAAGTGGGATTTATTGTAGAAACCAGTTGCTTTCACAGACAGCAAGAGGACATGAGAAACAGAGCACCTACAGCTGCATGTCTGAGAGAACATCAGGGGTATGTGGACTAAAGGCCCTAACTTACACTATAACAATATTCTCAGAATAGAACTACAAAAAATGTAGGGATTGTGGTAACACAGCGGCAGATGGTGGCACTATTTTCTTCATCTGTACAAATGTAAAGATGTCTCTGGTTTTAGGTGAGCTAGCTTTACTACCCACATACACACAGAATTCAAGAAGTATAGCATTCCTTATCTTTAAAAAGTATAGGGTTTGCTATTATACACAGCTTATTCTCCTTTTTCCTTTAAAAACTCATGGTTCTTCAAAATGTATTATTTTTTGGACACTCTAGATATTAAAATGTAAAGCATACAATCCTATTGACTCATTTTGAAACATTTCAAAATCAGTGTGTCAGTGATAGCAACTTCTATATTAAAATCCTGAAAAAACTAACAATAATTTTTAATGGTATTCATTTTTGTTAGAATAACACTGCTGAAGGAGCAGATAAGCATGACGTAGAAAATCACAATAAATATAATTTATTGTCCACTATTTAAAAAATGTTTACTTGCCAAAAAAGGTTCTGTAAATCATAGTGATGATGGGATTTCCAGTTTGGTTCTTTTTTTTTTTTTTCAAATAAAAATTTCCCTTGTACACAATAAAGAGGTTTTCTGCTCAACAAATCTATTTTTCAGATAATATAAAGGTAAATTTCAGAATGTTATGAATCATCATATAAATAACTGGAGCCCAAATTAATTGTGTTTGAGGGGCCATTTTTAAATAACAAAAATTACCCCAATTCATAAATGGTTTAAATAGTTGAAAAAATATACGGAAATGAAGGTAATAGCTGGAATAGTGGTGGTATAAGGTATATCACAATCTAAACCATGGCAGAGAGCATCTTCATCTAGTGATTGTTCTTTGTTAACATCTGTATGCATCTGTTTTCTAGAAATCACATAATACATATGCTCAATACATTTCTATCAAATGTAAATATTTTATTCTGAAAGCTGCCATTTACCAAAATACAACACACTGATGACTGCTGCTCCCTGGTTAACAGTACATCAATGTCAGGAGGACACACTAGCGTTCTCAAAATGTAGGGTTTACCTACCTACGTGGTCAATAGTTGATCATTTTTCGAAGGGCATCATAACACTTCCATTTGTCTGGGATGTAGAATGGCTCAAAAATGTGAGGAAATGGTGTGTCATACCCACAAACTCTTGATATAGGAGCCTCTAGGTTCAAGAAACATTCTTCCTGTAGAGAAGAATCGAGATGACTAAGAATATTTTTATTCACAAAAATAAAACTTTTCAACTTAAAAAAAATCTCACTCACTTAAAATACAACTGCATCCAAGGACATTAAAAATATTTAAGTACATTGTAACATAGAAAAAGCATGTTGGCATGATCCCACTTTGCTTATATACTTTCATATATGTATATGCATTTTATGCCTATATATTGGTCTGTTGTCTAATCCAAACTGAGGTCATACCAAATGTACTGTCCTATGAACATAAATGTAAGGCATGATGAAAACATCCACAGAAGTGACAGTTACCATGTGCTGAGCTCTCACTAAGTCTTAAATACACTAATAACTCCTCATTCATTCTCAAAAAAATATTTTGAGATGACAGGTATCACCATTTCCACTTTACACATGGGGGGGGGGAAACACAATAAAATGTTCACAGTAGTTAACTCTGAAGATTGAAATTAGTGATGATATATGTTTTCTCTTATTTCCTGTATTTTTCAAATTTTATATAATGAACATCAATTACTTTTATAATGAATGTTTGTAATTCCTTCACACTACAACCAGACTGAACTTCTATCAGTTACTTGACTGTGTCCTCATCTCTCTCACAGGCAGGCTTTTGCAGATGCTGCTGGTTCCCTGGCCATTCACTCCTCAAACCCACTGTTCTTTGCCTGACTGATGTGTGCACACCTTTCAGGTATCGCCTTAGGAGTCACCTCTGCTGGGAAGTCTTCCTTGACAGCAACTCCCCACTGAATCACAGGTGAGGGAGGCGTTCTGCCCTGAGCTCCCACATCACCAAATTCAGCATAATTCACTGCAGTCATCCACTTATCTGTCACCCCTGAGAGACTACAAGCTCCACGAAGCTAGAGATCTGGCTCAAACATGTAAAATCCCAACCCTGGTAGAACACTGTTAGGAAAGCTTCAGGGGAAAAAAGAAAATGTTATTCAAGTAAAAATCTCAAATTTGGAAATAAAATCTTTGAAATCTAAGGAGAAAGATAGATGAACATTTAGGTTAATACCATATCTTGGCTATTGTGAATAGTGCTGCAGTAAATATGGGAGTGCAGATATCTTTCTGACTTACTGATTTCATTTCATTTGGAAATATACCCAGTAGTAGGACTGCTGGATCATATGGTAGTCCTGTTTTTAATGTTTTGAGGACAACATGGTTGAACATGGAGGACTTTATGTTAAGTGAAATAAACCAGGCACAGAAAGACAAATAACCGCATGATCTCACTCACATGTGGAATCTAAAAAAGTTGACTTCATTGAAGTAGAGAGTACAATGGTGGTTACCAGAGGCTGGGGCCGCGGTAATGTTGGCAAAGGATGTTAGGCAAAAGATATATAATTACAGTTAGATAGGAGAAATAAGTTCAAGAGATCTACTGCATGGTGACTATAGTTAATGGGATACACTGTATTCTTGAAAAATGCAAAGAGAGTAAATGTTAAGTATTTTCAACATGAAAATGATATACATGTAAGGTATAGTATTTGTTAATTATCTGGATTTAACTATTCTACAGTGTATATAACATCACGTTACATACAATTCTGTCAATCTAAAAAATAAGAAAAATATTCATTTTGCTATTCACAGCTATTACCTGAAATAAAATCTTTGGGTTTTATTCATATATTTATATATTGCCTTGCTTCACAAAGGATTCAAAGAGGCCCAACTTTCTTAAACATTGTACTAACTGTATTTTTAAATCTTCCTTTGAGCAGAAATTTTTACACGAAGGAATCAGATACCTCATGTTCAATACCTACCCACTGTGCATATTTCTTCCAGTGACAAGTGTATTGGGGCAGGAAGGACTTGCAAGCAGGACAAATTAGCTCCAAAGAGAACCAACTGGACATTTGCAGCCCTCCCTTTGGCCCCTATAATCACCACGACTTTCATCATCAAACACCAAATAAGTGTGGGTATTTCCTGGCAACAAGTAATCTCCATGAGCAACTTCAGAACTTTAAAATGTATGGTTTTAAAGAGTCACCTAAGAGATTCCACTACTAAACTGAAAAGAGATGACAGATTGGATAGATTGTTTCTTGACTGTAACAAGTAATCTTAAAGAGCTTTAAATTGTCAATTTGGGATTAACACAGTTTTGTTACTTTGGCTGACACAGGCTGTTTTTCCATCTTTCCTAAGTACCGCACTCTGTAAGCAAACTATCCATGGACACTGCAAAACACAGAAAGTCAAAGGTAAAATATTTCACTAAATGCCTTGACTTTTCACCTGTTATGAAATAATATTCTTTTGAACTAGTAACTTGCAAAGCTGGCCTACCAGAAAATGATCTGTCAGTATTTGATAAAATCATTCCTTTTACCATGATGACTAACATCATCAAACTACATTTTTTTTCAAATAGTAATGCTTCTAACTCCTCAAGAATGTGAGCATCACTCTTTCCAGGAATACATATATATGTTTGCATGGACTTATAAAAACATCTCCTGTGAGGTCACACTTGAACTGTAAACAGTGGTTATCCTTGAGGCTGGTAATCACAAGGAGGTGAGAAAAGACTGCACTTTGTACATTATATATATATATTATTTGAGTTTTTATAAAACAGTATTAATTTTGTAATCAAATGACACTGAAATTTTTTAAAAAGTGAAGAATCATTTTATGTGAATAGAAGTTCCTATTTTATGTTACATGAATTTGTGATTTTTACATATAAGGTTTCCTTATTTGGGGAATAATTACTATAAATAATGTGTAATTAAATGATTATATTATTTATTATAAGTACATAAAATGTATTGTAAAAATAATGGAAGATAATTCAAGGATACATAACAGAAGATTGTGGACGGGTATTCAATTTTACAAGGATATCCTCTGACTGACTGAAACAGTTTGAAATTCTAACTTTTTGCTAACCAAAGTATATTAAAGAGGCTTAAGTTCTTTCTTCTATGGACTTTGGTTAAAACTTCTTTTAAAGCAGTTGCAAAAAAGATGTTTGGGTCAATGTAGCAGCAGTACAGATTTACTTTCCACTGAATTGGTTCACATACAAATGATTTTTGTGTATGTTTCTTTGAGCAACTACTAAAACAGGGCACCCTGGTTCAGCCTCAGTTTTTCCTACAGAAGCTGCACACACACACTCACACATACACATGGACACACACAGAAAAATATCTGAATACCATTGGCAGATCTGCAGATTAATGTACAAGATTAATCCTTCACAGAGTGTGTCTCTCTCCATTACAACCATATGAACACCATTACTACAGCAACCATGTGCCTTGCATTTTCAAGACAATCCAGATTGATCATATTCTTTTGTTCCTCTGGCCATGTAAACACACTCCTATTTTAAAAACCATGTTTGGTGATTTTTGATTAAAAAATAGTAAGCCACATAAAATTAGGAATTAAATAATGGCTTAGCCCACAGCGTTGTTGGAAGGATTCCACGTAGTGTCTAGAACATGAGCTAGTGATGTATCCATTTTTGGTCTTTCTCCCTGGAGAGCTAAGTGTGTGGACTGGCTCGAGCTGTGTATGTGGACTGGCTCGAACAACATGGAACAACAACAGATGTGACTGTGAGGTTCCAAAGCAAATCATAGTGTAAGATTTAACCAGGGACAACAGAAGAGAACCCAGACAGGTGACAAGAGAAAGTTTTCTCCAGCTATTCAGGGTCTGAAGTTTCACCCAGGATCCAATGAGAAGGACTGAAAGTGAACTCTGAAACAAACATGTAGTAAACACCTACATATATTTTGTGTATGTGCCTTCACATAAATAATCAGGTACTTAAAGAAAAATAGATATTCCTTCCAAAAGATCCATGTGAAATTCTAGAATATAGTACTTGAATTTACTCTATGCCTTTTAGCAACTATGAGAATTTTTCATTCTAAAATATGTTAATAACAATAATAGTGGCCAGCACTTATGATGCACCAGGCATTGTGTTAATGGGTTATATTTTACCTCTTTTAATCATTTTAACAAATCTTTGAGGTAGGTATTATATTCTATTTCATAGGTGAGGAAACCAAGATAGAGGAACTTGCCCATGGTCAAATAGCTAGAAACATAGCCAAATTAGATTCAAACTGGGCTACAAAGCCCATGTTGTTAGTCACTCTTCAGCTAATTTTGAGGTACTACTCTTAAGAATAGCAATAACAAAAGGAAAAAATAAAATAGAATTTTAAAAGAATGGTAAAATGAAAGGCAGACTGGGAATCCCAAAGTTTTACAACAGAGCCTTGAAAGGCATAATGGGTTAAGTCAAGTCTCAGAAGCCTCTTCCACATATATAAGGAAGGTAGATAAGACCTATGAAGAAGCTGAAAACACAAACTTAAGCATGAAGGTAACACACAGAGCAACAAACAGATGGTCCTGGGTATACAGAACCTCTTAAACTACACTAAATGGTTTAAGTAAGCATAACTCAAATTGTTTATATATTAGCCATCTGGATTGCTATGGATATTATAGCCAGAAAAGGAAGCAAACAATGTGAAATAACAATTCCAAATCATTAAAATCATAGACACAGGCAAAATAAATTATCTTGGTTTGCCTATTTTCTGTAACAAAATAAAACAAATTTATCTCTTTGTTTTGTTTTGTTTTTGGAAAACAAAGTATCTTACTGAAATTGGGGAGCACAGAGACCCTTTAAGTTTTCTAGCATGTAAGAGAAAGTAAGTACAAATTAATGGAACAGAATCCATTATGGTTTTAAGATAAAAAAAATATTATTGACAGGTTTTTAAAAATTAAGCATACTCCATTTATTCCTATGTCTTGATAAATGTATTACGTGATGTATATTATACGCATGTAAATACATACATATTAGTACTCTCATGGGATCCCTCAAGATCTCTCAATACCTAACTCCATTCCCCCAGTAGAGTTTTAAGTACATCAGCCACTAATCCTCCTGCCCCAGTGTCACAGGAGTTA